ATAAGTATTAGAAGGTATTTGATACCGCGCCAGATCGAAGACAAATATTAAAAACTCAAATAAAGGACAAATCAAACCAGCAGTTATGTGGCAAGAAATTCCCTGCGGCTTTACGTTTGACTTCGGGATCGTAACAACATTGATGAGTGGGGATGTATTATGGTTTTTGCACCCAGTTTATGGATCGTAGGGTCAATGCTGTTGGAAATATGTGGATTCGTTTTGTCAACTGCAAAAATCAATTTCATTTATAAATTTGCCCGAAACTTTCCTTGTCGCAGCTTTTGATTACTTTTCAACACATGGTTAGATATTTTATTATAATAATGATCAAATCTCAAATATTTATTTCTCAGAATCAGCTCGACTTGAAGTTCGTCAACTTGCAAAGAAGAAAAAAAACCTTTATTTCATATCATTCTTTTTTTATTTATTTATTTAATTATTTAGTTTTGTTTAAAAATAAAATAAATACATAGAGCAGTCAGTAGTATGCATTTTTTACATGAAAATATAATTAGTTAGTTGAAAAACAAATAACTCGTTAAAGTTGGAATTACAAGTTCATTCCGTTTTTTAAAAAGCAGCTTTTGTGATTCAGAATTACTCGTTTGCACCAGGGCATTTCTGGAAATATGAATGTTGATCACTCTATTTATTCAATAAATAAATTATAGTTAAAAACTGAAAAACACGCTTTTAAGAGTTAATCAAAACTAAAAGAAAGTAAAAAATAATTGTTAACATAAGGAATAAATGACTGATGAAGAAATTTTGCTGTTCTAAGCGTGCTTCTTAGTATGACATTTTTAAACTAACTCTGCATTTCGGAAGAAACTAACGAAAAGAGTACAACGATTGATATCGAGCACACCGCTTTTTAGAACGACATTCATTTCTCGTCAGTCATTTTATTCTTATGTTAACAATATTTTTTAGCTGATTAACTCCTAAAAGTGTATTTTAGTGCTTTTAAACCATAAATCTTTAAATGAAGTCCCGGTACGGAGGACTGGAACTATAGTTCTTACAGCTAATTTCAATTGTGAGTAAAACAAAGTAAATGCGAATATGTCGCGCCAGCCAGGATTCGAACAGGAAATCTCCTGATCAGTAGTCAGGCGCGTTATCCGTTGTGCCACTGTTCCACGTAGGTTTGAATGTTGTCTTTCATTCTATATGGTTAAATTGCTCTTCAATTGCTCTTCTCATTTAAAAAAATCCAAGTAAGCATTGTATTTGGATAATATAACAGAATTCTGGAAATGGTATAGCACTTTATTATCATCGACACCAAACGTAAATATAAAAAAAGTACTAATGTAGATTTTTATTAATTAAATTAAAAATCCACAAAAGGAAAAATAAATTATGGATATTCTAATCCCGATGTCCCATTTTTTTAATATTGCCGCAAGGAACACTTCTAAAGTAAGTAAATAAGTTTTCTTTTATTGTTAAAAAATTATAGCAATAATTCTAATTTCAGTTCACATAATGACTGAAACAATAGCTTTCAGTTTTAAAGCTATTTTGCTGTTAGCAAAAAAAAAATCATCCTTTTTAATACATTTTCACGTAGATATAATTGTAAAGCCCGACTCGTGGCTCAGTGGTAAAGTGCGCCGCTGGTGAGCTACTACTACACCGCATCACATCACATCAAATGCCTAGAGCTGAGTTGCCGCTTTTTTTACAGTTTGGGGAATGATATGGGTGAGGAGTCTGAGTTATCCCTGTGGAGCTCTACGGTAGGAGACGGGACCAATGGCTTAGTGGATTCGAACCACTACAAACATTCATGTCCCCGCCGGGATTCAAACCCGAATCCTGTGGTACCTGGCCACTCGGTCATCTGCCCGAGCATTAGGGCTGAGGTTCAATCCGCTGGCAGCATTGTTCTGAACATTGTTTCTAAACGAGTGACTCGATAGCGTTTGTCATGTCCAGCATCTTGCCCGTGAATCGGACTACCTGGTAGGATCTTCCGATTTTTCTCCCATACTATACGCAAATGTGGGTAGTTCCACTAAAAAAATCCTCCCGGAAGGCACTCCCCTCCTTCTTAGCGATTCGAAGCCAAAATCTGACTTCTACTTACGGGTGCTCCATCCCAACAGAAGCTGTCTCCTTTCCTCTATCCATGAGTACACTACTCATGGGGTGTCCGTCCTGTCACTGCCGGACACAAAGGATTCGAAACAACACTATCATTGTGAACTCATGTTCAATGATGTTTACATGAATTATGATTACGATATTATTTTAATGTGAATGTGATGAGATATTAATTAAATGTGATGAATTTCACATGATTTGAAAATTTAATTACGAATTTTGTAAAAATTAGTTAATCATTAATAAAACTTAATGCCCATATTTACTTACATAGTGGCATTATAAATTACTTCATTCTACAAATGTTCCCTGAGAAGAAATTAATTTTGAACTTTTTTACATTAGATTTACTTGGATGTGCAATTTTAATCTCTGTAGCAGTCCCAACCCAGGTTTCTCTCAAACGCAGAACAAAGAAAAAGACACGCAATCTGAATACTAAAAAGATTTTAATTAAATTTAACTTTCAATTCAAATCAACTGGAGAATAGAAGTTCACTGTTTGAATAGAAGAGTAATTTCTCTTTGAAAAATTCTTTCCTTTACCCTGGGCAAGAATCCTTTTGAGTTTTAATTTCTGCAAAGAGTTAAACAAATGAAACCACCACCATGGCTTGATTTCGCAGATTTGTTGGTTGGAAAGTTCAAGGAAAGAATCTTTCATTCTGGAATTGTTATAGTAAAGGAAAAATCATTTTCAAACTAACATTAGTAACTTAGACTGGAACAAACCAAATTAAATTATAAGGATATTATATGAACATATACATAACCACTGTTATCCAACTTTCAGTATTATACAAAGGTATTATTGAATAACTAGCAACATAAGACATGCATTGAAAAGTCCAGAAATTGCCTGTATTCTATTTTTATTAAAAAAAAAAATTTTTTTCTTTCTTTTTTTTTTTACTTTAACTAAGGTAACTCTACAATAGGGGCCTGAGGCCGAGTGACTAGCGTTCGGTGCCACAGGTTTCGGGTTCGAGTCCCGGCGGTGCTATGGATGTTTGTAGTGGTTCGGAAACGAAATTTATTAAATTAGTTTAATATAGTGGAGTTCATTTACTATAAATGTTTCTTCCTTGAATGGTGCACTACTACTATCTATAAAAAATTTGATACATGAAGTAATTATTACAGATTATTAGATATAACCTACGTATTTACATTGTTATCTGTTTAAAAATATCACTCTTGATTTTATTGGCCTATGTGTTAAATTTAGTTAATGCTTAATAGTTGTAAAATATTTTTGGATAATTAATACAAACATTAATAACTTCCTTTTACTATTAGTAAAAATGAAACAATCACTTAGATTTTGAACACTAAGTCATTCAAATTGAATCACTTGAAATTAATATTGAGTTGTTTTGATGTGCCGGAATTGTAATTCTTCTTACTTATTGCATCTAAATTTATTTATTGTTGTTGTCACTAATCCTCAGTGTCCAGCAGCACTGGACTGACACCCCATGAGTTGTCTACTCATAGATGGAGGGCGGCATGGTGGCTAGTGCTCTGGCATTTGGTGCCAAAGGCCCCAGGTTCGAATCCTGGCTGTGGCATGGATGTTTGTGAGTGGTTCAGAATCCCCTTTAAAATGTAGGTCCCGGTCTGTTTAGCCCTCGTGTGCACAAGATGACCGTAGAGCGACAAACCAAACCATAGATGGAGCTAAAGGAGTCAGCCTCTGTTGTGATGGAGTCCCCGCAGGTAGAAGTCTGAATTGGCTTCGAGTCGCTGAAGAAACAAGGCAGTACCTACTGGGAGGACTTTAGGAGGGATCATATGGGGAAAGCTCCCACCAGATAGTCCGACTAACGAGGCAAGATGCTGAACATCCCAAATGTCATCGAGTCTTTTCGTTTATGAAACAGTTTCTGCAGCGGATTGAACCTCCGCCCTAATGCTCACCACCAGCGCAAGTTATCACTGATCCACGAGTTGGGTCTCAATTTATTTGATTTGTATAAAGACAGGTTCAATTGAAGGTAATAGAAATTATTTTTACTCTATAATAGGATTTTGAGAATTTCAAAATTGTAAGGACAGTTATTTTCAATGAAGAAAAATATTTTTATTGTTTTCATAAAATTTTCAATTTTTATATTTAGCTTTTTAATAATTGTTTCTCTCGGTAAGGTAATTTATCTTATCGTTATCTGTAATTGCTAAACTCGTTTGGGAGATTTTAAGAATATGCAATTGCTTATGATAAACAATTATTGCAGTGAAAATTTAAAGTTTAAATATTAAGATGAAATTGTAAAATTTTAATTTTATTTTTTATCCGCAAAAATGCAACATTTTAATACATCCGAAAAAATTATGCAATATTTTTTTTAATATAGCAACAACAAAAAACAAACCGGCAAAAAACAATTCAATATTAATTTCACATGATTAAATTTGAATGGCTTAGGTGAATGTTATATTTATACTAACAGTAATGGAAAATATTTATTAGGTTATTTATTCTCAAAAGAAAAGGAATTTCACTTATCTTTAAAGTACACAGAAGGCTATTTATTTCTTCGACTTCAGCCCCAAATCAGACAAAAAATTATCTACAGAATAAGCAAACACACAAAGCTACAAGTCGGGAAATGTTGAAGCTAAGTAATCTGAAAACAAAATCTCTCCGACTTCTTAACTTACGATAGAGAATTGAATTCCACTCAGAATTTCGAGTTCTCGTTGTAGAATGGTAAACTCCAACAAAAAAAAAAAAGGAAAATCTTGAAATGGAATTGGATAAAAATAAAGACAAATAGCTTAGAATACGAGAAAAAAAAAAAAAGTTTTTGCATTTCTTGGAAGAATGATCAAAACTACAGATGAAATATCTGGTAAATTTCAAAGAAAAGGGGGAAAACGAAAACTATTTGTATGCAATAGTATAAAACAAGAGCTGTTTTAAAATGGAAATAATTTCCATGAACGACCCCTTTTATTTAACAAAAATGGAAACCCAAGGCTTAAATATTTTCTACACAGGTGTACAATATTCTGTGAAGCAATTCTAAAAGAAAAGTTCAGTAAACTAATATATATCTATATCAATATATGCTTGAGTTGAGAAAAAGTTTCATAGCATTTAAATACTCAGATTATTATTAATTATTAATAATAATATTATTATTATTATTTATTAATAATAATAATATTATTATTATTATTGATAATATTGGGGTTATTATTATTAATAATAATATTATTAATAATAATTTAGGGGCTACAATATTATTAATAATATTGTAACCCTAAATACATGAAAATTTCCAAGGTAGTAGCTTAAAAACTATAACACATATTATTGTAATTTTTCCCTCCGAAGTTTTTATTCTTTAACCTGGTATCTAGCCAAAAGATTACAAATAAATTCTAAATCAATTTTTAATTAAACAAAAACCATTTCTTGTTTTAACTTGATCTAGAGATTTTCAATTTATTAATTAATTAATGCTATTAATTGTTAAAAATTAATTAAATTAAAGTTAATTTAAATATTTAAATTTTGAAATTTATGCAACTGCTCCATTTTTTTTAATATATTTTCTTTTCAAATATTCTCTTACACAGGCTTGTTTATATTTAGCTTTCTTAATTTTCTTTAATTATTAATAATTATTCAAAATATATTTCCTTTGTAATTTGATCATCGCTATCAGTGGCGTGCATCTGCGATTGGGAGATCCTCTCGATTCATTTGCACTTTTTACCTTTTTTTCACCCATACAATTTCCTAAAACTTGGAAATAGCCGAAATGTCGAAAAATTATCATTACTCTTTTTCATCAGAGTGTTTACTAAAAATAGAAGTTAATACGAAAAAAAAAGTTAGTTATATTATATTTAAGATGAGGATTTAGTCATAAATGAAAATTAAATATGCTTGATTTTCTGGAACTGGAAAAATTCCGGTTAACTAATCGTCTTGTTGTCAATCAGCTAGTTTGAAAAGAGAAAGTTGAAAGGTCAGCAATATGGGGCTAGTAAGATAGGAGGACCTTTCTTCTAGGAGCTAGCTTCCAGTTTCGTCCTACCTCAATGCATATCTCTCAGCGGGATTACAGCTATGCGGAGTCAGGAAAAAGAGGGATTGCAGTTTTGTTCGAATCAGTGAATGTGACAGTTTTGTTTTGCTTTTTTGGTTGTTCTATGTGTTTTATACTTTATTGCTTTAACAATGCTTCCCAAGGAAACCTAAAGTCAATCCTACAATGCATTCATTCTCATGTCACATTACATTCTCCTGTGCGACAAACTATAGGGAAAATAATAACCCGGGCAACACCAGGTGAGCATCTACTGTAGGTTATAAAAGCGAAAACATTTGCTTTTTCAAACAGTTCAATTCCATAAAAATCATTCTCCGAATGTTTTCATAATATTTAAAGTCTGAAATCTACTTTAAAACGTTTTAAAGTTCCAGGTCTATTTTATTAGATTACATGTTTTCTTTGCTATCTGCAGCAACGGTGAATCTGTATTATTTTATTAACTTCTCGTTTGAAGGTGAAATCTATGCTAAGATAAGAGCAAACATCAACTATGTACTTTTTCAGCCCTACTTTTACGCAGCAAAGATGAAGTACATAAAATAGAATTCTCGGACATTCTTTATAAATGCTACAAGTATAAATTTATAGTGCTGAGATTTTATCTCAACTACTTGTCGTAATTACACTTATCTTAGATTACGTATTTTTATATAGTTGACAAATTATGACAACATGTAAATTCCTCACACAAATAATTAGCATAACTATTTAGAAATGGATGGGGACAGCCCTAGTGGAATATACATTGAGTTTAACTCAATGGTTTTCGATTCCACGTGAAACGAAGTTGAAATGACAAATACTGTGTATATCCTGAGAAAGGGCACGTTAAAACCATAGCAGGGATGCCTTTCTGTTGTGTCTGTAGAAAACAGTGGGACCCACCAAATATAGCCATTCAATTAGTTCGTTCCAAATTGTAGTGCCGTAGTGTTGATATAATGTAGAAACCATCTCCATGATGCCAGTTGAATCTGCTTTATATTTTTCCTACAGATGATTGATCTCAGTTCCTAGTATTTGACATTTGAAAGCTACAGGTATTTAAATATAGGTTTTAACATAAAAATCTGTTTATGAAGAAAGAATTTGGAAGCTTTTTCTGAATAAACTTTTAGAGTCAATTAAAAATATAACACTTATTTTAATTTTTGTATAATTTTTTTTCTAATAAGATCTTTCCTCATAATGAATCCAAAAAAAAAATATATGCCTATCCAAATTCATATGCCTATTCTATATATGAATCCAAAATAAATATCCATATTATGCCTTCATTTTTTAACCTTCCCATTGAAATAAATCCTAACTTGATTTAACATAGAGCATCTTGCACACATGGCAAAGTACTTGAAAATCCATAAGACTGAAACTCCTTAATAGGCTTGTATAAAAGTTTGAACAGCAGAATGCCACCTCAAAATTTGATCTTTTCATTAGCTTATGGTTCTTAATTTTCATCAACTATCATCCACGTCTTATCATCCACATAAGGTTACAAGATATGCAAGCTGCATTAATTATTATTCCCTTTTTTATTGATTATAGATTTTTCAATATCAAATAGAATTAATAGATCATTACCACAAACACTTTTTCCTACATATTTCCATTTCGATTTTACTGTATGAAAATATATATTTACTGAAAGGCCAATTTATTTATTTCAAAATTAAAATTACTCTTTTTAAATTCTCGATAGCATAATGGTAAAATAAAGCGTATAAGTAGAAATGAATATAAATAAAAGTATCCGATTTTAATGAAGAAGAAACTTAACATAAAAGAAATAATAAACTACATACTATATCAATTATTGGAATATCGAAATTTTTAAAGATTGTATTCTTATTAATTCTTCTCTTACTTATAATTAGTTTCTTATTTTTGTATTGTGTACTTTTCATCCTCGATAATCTCAAAAAGTGAAAAGACTGAGGAAAATACATCTAATCAATGCCAGATCTTCTCTGCTATGTAATTAGTTGCACTCCAAATTTATTGAACTGCTTCACTGGTGTGAAATGTATTTATTATCAAACATTATCTCCAGTATTCTTTTCAAATATTATAAAAAAGTGTCTCTAAATTAATCAGCGATTTTAAAACGAAGTTTTTTCAAAATTTTTGGTTTGGTAAAAGAAAAGTCACTGAAATGAGGGACTCACATTTATTCTTTTTACATCCACAGCAACCCAGAAAACAAGAAAGTTATTAAAAAAATAAATATTTCAAAAAAAATATTATTGTTATGTTAGGTTAATAATAAGTAAAAGACAGGCAGTCTTTGAGTGAATAATATCATTTATTTAGGGTATGATTCCTTATATAAGTTAACCAGTGTAAAGCATTAGTCTTGAATACTTTTTAGCAAGATATTTTAGAAGTTTTTATATTTTTAAAGCTATACAATTTAATAACCTCTTATACAGCTTATGAAGTCTAATACCTTTCTCATACTTCTTCTATTCTTCTATTGCCCAATGCCTGCTTATACAGCC